GAGGGTGTCTTGTTTGGAGGATATTGGAATAATTGAAGGGGCTATTTTCTCTGGTCTGGACTTCAAAATTTGCAAGGGCAGTTCAGAGACTGAAGGGAAGGGAGAAAGAGGCTATGATGGGGAGTATCACAAGTGTGTACTTCACAGCACTTTGTGTTGAGAGCACTATTTTTCCCCATATTTTAAAACATTTATTACATGGAAGATAGATTAATATTGGTTTCCTGGTTCCAGAATCAAAATTAGATGAACATGTGTGGAATTACAAGGAGGCTAACTTCTCAATATGTGACAGTTTTCTAAACTTAAGAGACAAAAATAGATTTTGGTGCCAGAGAGGTAATTCAGCTCTGAGGGTGTCTGAGGATGGGCTATATTGCTACATATTTTGGATGTTACAGAAAGATTAAAACACATAGGAGCCGTTAGATCTGTCTGACCCTTACCACTTCTTCTTATTCTGTTTTTTAAAAAGTGTTGATCCTGTAATTTAAATGATTCCTGCAAGGCACAGAGTCAGAGTCACTGAAAAAAAGTGGTAATGGTCTTAATGATAGGAAACAAGTGGAAAAAAAAAAACACAACTCTTATAGGTTTGGAAGATGGCCAGAGATGACCAGAGATGAATGTATTTTAATATTTTATCCTATAGGAGAGAGACAAGGTGGAGGTATGGTAATAGTAACCAGGTTAGCAAAGTAAGGCTCTAGTATCAGCAGAAGCTAAACCTAGACAAGGTAGTACCAGTTTGCATTCCTACCAACAATACATGAGGGTTCCTTTTTCTTCACATCCTCACCAATACTTGCTGATTTTGACAAATGTCAGGTAGTATCTCATTGCCATCAGCACTTCCCTACTGAGTGATGTTGAGCATCTTTTCATGTGTCTGTTGGCCATCTGTAGGTCTTCTTTAGAGTAATTTTTGTTCATTTTTCTTCCAATTTTCAATTGGATTATTTATTTTTTGGGCATTGAGTTGTCTAAGTTCTTTATATATTTTATATACTAATATAGTTTATATATTTTAGATACTAGCCTTTTACTGGATATGTCATTTACAAATATCTTCTCCCATTCAGCAGGTTGTCTTTTAGTTTTATTGATTGTTTCCTTCACTGTGCAGAAGTAGAACAAATAAATAGAGAAGAGAGAGAGAGAGAGAGAGAGAGAGAGACCAAGAAACAGACTCTTAACAGAGAACAAAGTGATGGTACCAGAGGGGAGGTGGGTGTGGAAACAGGTGCTGGGGATTGAGGAGTACACTTGTGATGAGCACAGGGTGATGTATGTAATTGTTAAATCAGTATATTATACACTTGAAACTAATATAACAATATATATTAGCTATACTGGAATTTAAAATAAAATACATGAAAGAAAAAGAAGAAAGAAAACAAACGTGAAAAAAAAAAAAAACCAGCAACCCTAGATTAGACAAGATAGAAATATTCCATGTTAACCAAAGGCTGGCATGAGGGGGCGCCTGGGTGGTTCAGTTGGTTGAGCATCTGCCTTCTGCCCAAGTCATGATCTTGGGGTCCTGGGATCAAGTCTCATAGTGGGCTCCCTACTCAGCAGGGAGTCTGCTTCTCCCTCTACCCCTCCCTGCTCCTTGGGCTCCCTTTCTCTCTCGTTCTCTCTTGCTCTCATCTTCTCTTTCAAATAAATAAATAAATAAATAAAATTTTAAAAATAGAGACTTCATGGGGGAAATACTAGGGAGGAATCAGGAAAAAAATAGTGTATGCAAAGATCTTAAGTTACACTAGAACTTTACATGGAGGGTTTTGAGAGATTTGAATCATATAGAAACTACTAACAAAAAGATTTCATAATAAAAAAAATCACTTAAAACAAGATGTTGAGTGTTCCCTAACACTGAAAATATTCAAGGAGAGGTTACTTGCGTATCTGTATTATATTGTTTAACAGTACAATATCACGGTTATATGTCAGATCAAGAAAACTTGGAAATGTGATTTTGATTTGGAAATGAATGCTTCTGAGTCTCAGCCTTTGTTAAATGACATTTGTAATTCTTAATTTGCTAGTTTCATGGCTCACATACGGACATCTTAAAAGAGAATGTTTTCAGCCAATAAAGCACTTTACAAGTAAAGAATACTGCCTACTTGTGTGGGAGGAGTTGGACCAAATCACATTGTGACTCAGATTAAATTGACATCTAAGTGGAAAGAGGGTAAAGACGGGAAAAGTGTATTTGCTGTCAGTGTGATTCTTGTAGAACTTTTAAAGCATGATCTCAGGAATCAGGAGGGGCCCCTGGACAATGACACATTACTCATCAATCTTGAGACCTTCAACTGCAATATGGTTACACTTCTAAGCAGTGATTGACTTTTCCCATACATACATCTGGAAATCTTGGAATGGGGAAATGTACTTTATTCCTATTAAATACACTGGTCTGTTACCAAGGTAGGTGATTGTAACTTCAATAAATATTCATGATTACGGATATTCAAAATATGCCTGTGATGTATTTCTTGATACTGCATTTTTAAAAATAGGCTCCAGCCCCAGCATGAAGCCCAACATGGGGCTTGAACTCCCAACTTTGAGACTAAGACCTGAGATGAGATCAACAGACTGAGCCACCTAAGTGTCCCTTGATACTGCATTTTTACAAAAATATTATTTAAAATGCACCTGGCAAGGTGCACTGAGGCCAATCACATGGTAGTTTGTTTTCTGAGGGAGTTGGGTCACTTTTGAAAAGCCATTATGAAAAACATTAACATACACACTCTTTAAACCAGAGCAACATCAAAGTAAATCTTAAGATTTTATTATAATAAATGTATCTAATCAAGTCAATATAGATATTCAAAAAGCTACTGTTATTTGGGAATCCTTGTATTTGGATAAAAGAAAAACAGAAAAGAGTATTGAGTCTCCACTATGCATCAGAATCTGTGCTACACTCTTTGTATTTCCTATATATTTTCTATAGACCTTTTGGCAAAATTTTAAGTAGACATATTTTTTTTAAGTAGACATATTTTTATTTCCATTTAGCAGTTGTAGACAGTGAGGTTCACAAATCTGATGACATTTTCCATGGTCAGATTGTAAACAAATTGCTCAGCCAGGAAATGAATCAAGGTGTTTGCCATGGAAAGCTGTTTCTGTTACAGAGCCTCTGAAACTTGGAGGAGACAGGTGCCAGTTACCAACTTATTACCTCTCAGCTTCAAATTCACCCTTCAGTAGATGCTCTGTGGTAACATATGGGATTTCTTTAGGCATTTTTTCTTTGCTGTGATCATGGCAGCAAGCTTTCTCAGTAGTGGGTGGTGTTGGGACATTGCAAAGGAAGCAGTTCTACATTTTTTTGGCTGCAGTCCTGGAGAGAAGTAGAGGGTGTTCATCAGTGTGGATGTGAAAAGATCTGGTGAAGCTCTGCTCAGTCATGGGTCCAGAATGTGGTGGATCCTCAGTGATGCTAGAGCTTCACACTGACAATGACCTTTATTTGACCCCCTCTACATAGAAACTTGTACCTTGCAGACTTCTCATCCACAAATCCCTGTTGGCCTCTTGTTCTCACAGACACCCAGATTTGCTCTTCAGGTTTCCCCCACCCCTGATGTGCCTGTATCTCAGAGCTTCCCAAACCCTCTACATGCCCATACCACTGGTTGCTTATTCTTCATCTGCACTCCAGAGAGAGTTGTCTCCTGCTTGGTAAGTAACTGCAGAACAAACCTGGTCTGGCCAAACCAGTGAACTTCTCTGCTTACAAGTAGGCTGAACTATTCTTTTCAGGTTTTTTTTCTTTTTTTGATTAGTTTCCCACATTCTTAGGGTACCATACAGAAATTCCTCATATCCTATAATTACTCTTTTATCATGGTTTAATAATTTTATTTTACATTAACATTTCTGTGTTACCTACTGTATGGCTTCTGTCTCCTAATTGGAATCAGACTGATATAGGGATCTTTAGTTTTAGGAGTCATCCGTGTATATATGGTGGTTGAATCAGTGGCAGCAGGTAGATTTAATAGTTTATAATGTGAAAAGCAAAGATGGAGGGTAGAGTAACCACATGAAGCTCCAAACTTAAGGAAAAGTACAGAAAGATTGTCAGTGAAAGAGATGTCATGGACCAGAAGCCCATGCATCAGAGAAATGATGGGAAAACACGGTATCAAGTCAAAAGTAAGGATGAATAATAAATACCATGGAAATGTCAACTATTATTAATGTCATGATGCAAGGTATTCAACAAAAGTATAACATTTAAGAATTGGACTTTAACAAACAAGTTGTTGGACCAAGGCATTTTCTTTGCTCTAAACTGAAATTCTTGAAAAGCTTGTTTTTTTGTTTGTTTGTTTGTTTTTGTTTTTGTTTAACTAATAAATGTTACATAATGTACCCACCTGGAGTTCAACAACAACAACAACAAAAAAAAAAAAAAAGAAAGAGGGAAGAGAATGTCATAATGTGGCTGGAAAACAAGGGGATAACAAACTCTCCTCCAGAGAGAAGAATGTTCCTGGGAGGGGATATAACACATTGAAATACTCAATTCCTTGTCCAAAATCTATGAAAAGTGCTCCAGAGTGATTATGATCGAAAAAACTAAAATACTAGGAAAGGACAAAAAAGACACCAAGATGCTATGATAATGATTATGATGATGAGGGTGACGATGATGAAGAGGATATTAATAGTAGGGAGTAGAACTTTGTGTTTAGTGGATGAAAGAACAAAATACAAACATATTTATAGGTCAAACATATTTTGGTGACATGATATGTCATGGTCATGAAACACAGTTATGGAAGCTCAAATTATGGTCTTGTTTGCTTGGGTGCTTAGAAAATCTATCTTTATTTGGTCTTAAGGCCTTAGAAAATTCCTAGATTAGCAAGTAAATTAGGACATCCTAATAAAATTGTGGTACACAGAATGAGCTAATTTTAGGCAAATAGTTGTAAAATGAGGGAACAGAGATCATGTGAGGTATGATCCATCCACCCCTGGAAGTATATAAAGGTCCTGGAAGAGGAGAAGATATCCAGACTTCAGAAATCTCCTACACCTCAACTGAAACCTCACCTCCCAACACCATGTGTTGTAACTACTACGGAAACTCCTGCGGTGGCTGTGGCTATGGCTGTGGCTATGGCTCTAGCTGTGGCTATGGCTGTGGCTATGGCTCCCGCTATGGCTGTGGCTATGGCTCTGGCTGTGGCTGTGGCTCTGGTTGTGGATATGGCTGTGGCTCTGGCTGTGGCTATGGCTCTAGCTGTGGCTATGGCTCTGGCTCTGGCTCTGGCTGTGGATACAGCTGTGGTTATGGCTCTGGCTGTGGCTATGGCTGTGGCTATGGCTCCCGCTATGGCTGTGGCTATGGCTCTGGCTGTGGATACAGCTCCCGCTATGGCTGTGGCTATGGCTCTGGATGCTGTGGCTACTAAACATTTTGCTACAGAAGATGATATTCCTCTTGCTGCTAATCATCACTGCAGCTAATACTGTACCTTTGAAATGATCACTGCAAGCACAAGTCCAGTTGATATCTCCCCACCCATGAACTTCATAGCAAAGTAAAGAATTATTATTGTCTGTCAGGGACCTGCCTTAACTTCAAAGAAACTCTTTGCAGTTGATGGAGAATGAGCAGTTTCATCACACCACTGAAGACAGAAGATCTTACTCTGATCATTTTTCAAATGTAAATTCTTCTAATTTTTTCTCTGTCTCTGTTCTGTGGCTATTTGCATAAGCACAGGAGGACTATCGAGTTGGAATATATTAAAATGGAGCAAAAATAAAAGATTTTATTTACTGAGAAGTCTTGTTTTCTTTATATCAGAGTCATTTTGATTTCAGGGTTTATGGCTTCCGGAAAAATGGGTGACCACAACTTTGGAGAAGAGTGTTTATTGATTGATTGAATCCCAGTATTGGTTCTTTTACATAAGTCTTAATCCACTGTATAGTCATTCATTGCATTATATTTAAACATAAACAAAACATCAATCAAACCCCAAATTTCATATCTTGTGTGGATAAGAAATTAAAAAAAAATAGAACAGGGAAGTCAATGAGAAATAGAATCTACCCATAAGTCTAGTGTTACTAGTTCAAGACAGAAGTGATTTACTTGATCCTGGGTTTGATCCTCAAATTTAAAGAGCAACAATATTAATTTAAAGAGCATTTTTTGAAATACGTGAAACAACTCTTGGAACAAGCCAATTACGAGTATTATAACTGCTGAGGAAAATCAGTGATTGCCAGGAACCTTCTCTCTTCCTGTTCCCAACTCTTGCTGTGTGCATTTCACACTCAGTTTCAAAGTGGATACTCTAAGTAACTGATTGGTGTCCTGCTTACATTCCAAGCAGGAAAAGGCAGGAAGGACAAATGGTGAATGGCATCAGGTTTTTTAAACCTATTTTTAAGTGTTCCCCTTCCCAGATAAAAACACATTTGCCTATGCCTCATTGACCATTACTGTGTCATGTGGCCATTCTCAGATGAAGGTGGGTAAAGGAAAAGGATTTGTAGATAGAGGTTGTGCTGGTCAGCCAATCTGTACCAAAGCCCCATAGGTCTTGAATACCAGGGGAAAAGGATAAAAGGTAGGGGAAGCAAAAAGGTAAGTGGATGTTTGTCTTTATAGAAATTTGAGTTTGAGCAGGCGCACAACTGATGTCTTCACCTAAAGCTTGTCTTCGAGTTCAGAGTGTTACACTTATACTCCCATGTTTATATTATGTAATTTGCCCACACAGGGCTCTTATCTTTTTTAAACACATACTTAGTTATTCTATTATTTTTTAAAATTCCTTTCTCACTCTCGCCCCCCATCTTGTATTTTATATGCAACCATTTCATTCTACAAAAGTTCCAAGTCAGTTGTTCGTTATATTACATATTTTTAATTTATATAAATAACATTTTTCTTTTTTCTTTTAACTCTTCACTCAGCATGGTTTGTATTGACAGATCATATGTGCTACTATGTGTGCATTTAGGATGTTATTTCTATTGCCACATGGTATTCTATATAGTTTATACACAAGATTTCTCTCATTCACTACCTCTGATTCACAAGACTGCCCCGGTTCTCTTTGCCACAATATTGCCACAATGTTCCCTTGTGGGATTTTGTGAGAATCAACCCGAGATCTGAATTGCTGGGACAGATGGTATGTTTATACTCAATTTTACTAACTACTACCAGATTACTTTTTTAAAAATTTGAGTATCGTTGACACACAGTGTTGTATTACTTTTGGGTGTATAATTTAGTGATCTGACAAGTTTAAACATTATGCTATGTTCACCACAGGTATAGCTACCATCTATCCCATTACATCACTATTATACTATCATTGACTGTATTCCTTATGTTGTGCTTTTTATTCCCATGACTTATTCATTCTAAAACTGGAGGCCTGTAACTCTGTCCCCCGTTTGCCCATTTTGCCCAACCCCTCTGGAAACCATCAGTTTGTTCTCCACACTTATAGTTCTGATTCTGCTTTTTATTGATTTTTTTAGGTTCCATTTATGAGTAGAATCATATGGTATTTGTCTTCTCAGTCTGACTTATTTCACTTTGCATTAAACCCTCAAAGTTCATCCATGTGGTCTCAAATGGCATAGTCTCATCCTTTTTATGGCCATGTTATATTCCACTGCATATTATATATATACCACATTTTCCTTATCCATTTGTTTATTAATGGACACTTTTATGTCTTGCCTATTATAAATAATGCTGCAATGAACAAAGGATATGTATATCTTTTCGAGTTAGTGTTTTCATTTTTTTTGTAAATACTACTCAATAGTGAATTATTGGTCATATGGTATTTCTATTTTTAACTTTTTGAGGTAACTCCATACTGTTTTCCACAGTGGCTATACCAATTTACATTCCCACCACCAGTGCATGAAGGTTCCTTTTTCTGCACATCCTTGCTGATATTTGTCCTTTCTTATCATCTTGATTTTAGCCATTCTAACAGGTGGGAGGTGATTGCTAATTGTGGGTTTGGTTTACATTGCTCTGATAATCAGGGATATTGAGCATCTTTTCATGTGTCGGTTGACCATCTGTATATTCTCTTTGGGAAAATGTCTATTCAGGTCCTCTGCTCATTTCTTAATCAGATTTTATTTTTTTGGTGTTGAGTTGTGTGAGGTTATATATATATTATATATATAATAAAAAATATAATATATTATATATAAATGCATATTAATATAATGTATATTATATAAATATATATTATATAAAGTATTTTGGATATCAAGTCCTTATCAGATATGTAATTTGCAAATATCTTCTCCCATTCAGTAGGATGTGTTTGTTTTGCTGATGGTTTTCTTTGCTGTGCAAAAGTCAGGCAACTTTTTAGAATGTGGATACCACTCCAAAACCCTAAAATTGTGTTCTTATGTCCTTATATCTATGCCAAAACCTTGGTATTATCTAACCTTCTAATGCTTGCTTTATCTTTTTAAGATTTATTTTATTTATTCATGACAGACACATGGGAGAGGCAGAGACATAGGCAGAGGGAGAAGCAGGCTCCCTCCCCTGCAGGGAGCCTGATGCAGGAGTCAATCCCAGGGGATCATGACCTGAGCCAAGGGCAGATGTTCAACCACTGAGCCACCCAGGTGTACCATGTATGCTTGTTTGATAAGTGAAAGTGATATTATCCTGTTGTTTTAATTTGTATTTCTCTGATTACTAAAAAGTTAGAATATTTGTATTTTCAAATACGTTAAGCTTCTTTTCCATATCCTTTACCTATTTTTTCATTATGTCTTTTCTTATTGATTTGTAGAATTTCACTGTATATTCTTATTATTCCTTTGTTATTTTTACACATTGCAAATATCTAAACTGTCATTTGTTTTTTTGTCCATGTTGTACATAACTGAACAAATATTTTTATGTGATTTGTAATTTTGAAGTTTAAGAAGCCTATCTTAACTTTATGTAAAAGATGTTGCATATTACTTTCAAAGTTTTGCATTTTCCTTTTAGATACTTAGTTCACATGGAGTCAATCTTTGTATGTTGTGCTTCAGCCATCTTTTTCACTGTACTGAGCCAGTTTCTCCAATATCACCTGTTAAACAGCCCATCTTTTGTCAGTGATGGTGGAATTGGTGGTACGTTTTTACTATATATTGTTTTTACATATATGAGTCTATGAATTCTCTATCATTGTCTCTCTATGCTTATGTCTCTTCACATATTTCAAAAACTTTTTTAATGGCATAAAATTAGGTTTATTATGCATGTTTTTACTGAAGAGAACTAGATCCAATGGGTAGAATGTAAAGACAAATAGGTTTCACAAGAAATTTTTCTAATGGTTAGAGGAATGGGAAAATACAATTGGCAGTCTTATAGTTATCCCTACCCAGAAGTTTTTAAGAGTTTTCACCTCTTGTTGGAAAAATGAGTAAAACTGTGCAAATATCATTCACTTAATTGATTTATGTCATTCAGTTCTACTTTGAAATTTAGAGATTCTATAAGTAAAGAATAATTTAAGGTGAGGTTCAGGCAAACTGGATAAGGAGAATATACCCAGGGAGGTCAGAAAAATAATACCCCATTCTCTAGCAGAAACAGGAAGAAGAATATTGGTTTGAGGTGCACTTTGAAGCCTACATTTTGAGTCAGTATTTTTGGATTTTTGTGACTGTGCAGATGATCCCCAGAGCAGGGAAAAGAGAGAGAACAGATTCAGTAAGGACTTTGCAGAAGAACTCTTGACTGTGGTCAGCAATTAATGTAATGATGTATAGTCTAGTCTAGTTCATAAAGGTGTACTGAGATATACTCATCTTGAATTGCTGAGAGATTCTGATGTATGATGTGGGTGGTAATAGTTCAGTTGTCTTGAGAAGCACATCATTACTATAATCATTCAAAGACAGATGAACTAATCATCCACCAGTACTATGTATGAAGGATGACAAAGCACTTTGCTACTTATTAGCTTTGCTACTTTGGTCTAGGAACATAACCTTTCCTTGAAAATCAATTTCCTTACATGGAAAATGTGGATAAAATATCTTCTCAATATCGTGGGGTGGCTTAGACTTAATATTTTCATAAGCAATTTACACAACATTTCTTTGCTTTATGGAGGTTACAAAAACAGTAATTAGAGCTTTAAAAGATTAATTGATATATTTATTTACACAAATCTCTGAGCCTATTCCCTGTAATTAGTGATATTTCATAATCAACATTTTTGTTCACTTAATTCTTCAGTTGCAAGATTTTAAATTCTGAGTATATTTTAAAAAGTCACACTCTCAGAATTTTTTTCCTATGATGCTAATGTTTTTGGTGATAACCAAAGTTTGGAATAAGGAACTTAATTGTTTTCCATATTGAAACCATAGACTATTTTCAAGCCAAAGTGTATTC